AAAACATTCATTGCATATCCAAGTTGGGTCGTTACTTTAAATTCCATATTTCGAAGAGATTAAAATTTCTGAAAATATAATGTTAGCTTTGAAAAGGAGGACAAACTATTGTAACGCAATGAATTTTAAGATGGCACAAAATTAACTCAAACGTTTTAAAATATCTTTATACTATATGTACTTATGTCACATGAAAAATTACTTCTTCAACATGCACGAAATCTTTTAAATTTGTATCTCGAAGAGGTTGATCTTAAATATATTGAAACATTAAAAACTGTGTTTAGCTTTATGCATGTAACCCCTTTTCACTAACTTGGAAAAATGTTTGAGTGAAAATCGTTTTAATTAGAACATCGTAAATTAAGTAACTTGCTGTGGTCTTTTATAAATCGGCCTATATTTTATCTCTTTTATAAATCTGCCTATATTTTATCATACTTCTGTAAAACGAAAATTTGGACCCATTCAAATCCTTACAAAAGCTTTTAGATATTCCCCAGAAAATCCTGAAATAAATTTTTAAAACTCAGGTTATGGGTGTTTAAAAAAAAAAGGTTATGGGTGTTCAGTGGATGTAATATAATTATTTTTTTGTATTTAATTTTACTGTTACACTTAGGATTAGAAGGAAAACGAAGATATATTGAATTACATGAAGTTTAGATCACAATTTTCTATACATAATAAAACTAACGTAAATGAGGAAAGGAAAGAAATATCTGAAAACTAACTGAGTGATATTTTTCTGTCATCACTTTAAATTAAAACATATCTGAGGTCCGTTTTAACTTGAAAGTTTTAGTTGAAAGATTTACAATCCCGGAAATGTTCCGGAAATCTAAGGTTATTAGAAATAAAGTTTTATACTAACTATTTATTAGAACATAATTTAAAAGTGTATGTGTAATTCCACATAAGTATTATAATAATGCTAACACGATTGAAGAGAAGTGTTATGTATAAAGGGTGTATTTTACACAATTTTTCTTTTGTTTTTGGAGAATAAAATTCTTTTGACGGTTGAAGGTAATATCAACATGGTAATATTTTTTAAACCCCTAATTACATAATATATTGAAAGAAATTGGTAATTTATAGTTACGTAAATCATTTAAATACAAAATTTAATAAAATGGATTTAAAATTAATTTTTGTGTTTTAATAAGTGATTTAAATAAAAATAAAACTTAGTTTTTAGTATCAGAATTGTTTTTACAAACGGTTAGATTTAAAGCAAGAAATTTCTTGCAAGACATCCTATTTAAAAAAGGGGGACATAAAGATATTCTAATTATTAAGTTAAGGAAAATACCCATTGGATTTTAATATCAAAAAAAAACTAAAAAATAAAAAATAAAATAATTTCACTTGTATGGCGTTATAAAACAATACCGCTTCGTTTTGTTACATTTTTACTGTGAAAATTAAATCGAAGGACATACTCTATCTACCAACATAGTTAAGAATATAATATCATTGTTATATTGCAGTCCACGGCATTCAGTCTATTACACTGTATTGTATTACGCTTCTAATGCTACACAGATGACTTGTTTGTTGAACATTTATGCAATTGATTTAACAAACATACATTGTAGGAATATGAGAAGCTTGGACAGGGGCGAACGACGTATAAGCAGTTGTTAGAGTAGATCTGGACTCTTATTGGTGTGATAGATTAATTGGTGGGGGCATTGGTGTGATAGACGAACATTTAACATTGTTATTAGTATAGAGTAAATTTAATAAATTAATATTGAAAATATTTCGTATATTTTATTTAAATATTCTGATATAGTTGCTAAGAATATAGATACATATATATTTTCATTATTATTTCTATAAGACAAAGGATCTGTAAGTAAAGGTTGCAATAATGCGGATTTTCTACAAATATCTTACTTTAATGTTTTTTTATATTTTTTAAGTTTAACTTATAATAATTTCATGATATAAATTGTCTAAATAGCCTTTATAACATTTAATTTTGATATTTTGAGCGGGTTTTATTTTCTTTTCAAGTATATGATTATAATTTTCAAAATTGTATTAAAATTGTATAATAAAACTTTATTTGACATTTTCAACGAGTGTGGCAATTTTTATAAGTTGCAAACCATTTTGTTTTAATGTATCTACTACGAGTATACACAAATAATATATATACATATATTCCTTTGAATTACGTCTCACTCTCTCACTCACTCAGCCTATAGCAGTCCACTGCTGGACATAGGCCTCTCCCAACACGCGCCATAACAGTCGGTCCTCTGCCTTCCGCATCCAGTGAGACCCAGCGACCTTTTTAAGGTCATCGGTCCACCTAGCTGGGGGGCGTCCTACTCTACGTCTATAAAACATTATATAATGACGGAATCCTAGAGGTTTACCTCAAACCTAGCAATAACGATGACAATGATAATGCCGGTTGATGCAAATTGCTGTGATAATAGTTATGTTAAGATTTCACTATAATATAAAAATGCTCCTTAGATAAAATGATACGAATATTTTTCGGATTATACTACGCGTATTTTATTATTTTAAAAACTATATATGTGACTTTACATAAAATTGGTTCCTATGAAAGAGAAATTATATAACATTCATTAGAAATTGTTTCAATTTTTATAATAGAAATATATATGTATTTTTTCCCTTCATAGGAGTACATAAAAATACACTGTTTAAATTTATATCTATAATATAATGAATACCATCAAAAGTCTTAGATCTACTAAGAGTACTTATGATTAAGAAATGCGTTCATTTTATTAACAGAAATTAAATAATACGACAGAACATGTTGTACTTGCATTAAGCAGTCCTTACACGTGTCGACCGAGACTATATTTTTAGTCCACTCCTATATTCTGTGGGTTGGAATGAAATCAATCGATCACGACTTCCTATACAAAATAGATCCTATGTGAATGAACGGAAAACGACGAAGAAATGTTATGGAAAGTTGTCCAGAGGGCATTTTAATTACATATAACACTTACGTTAGGAATTTTATTTTAAGTTTGACTTTCTTATAACCTAAATTTATTTTAAATTTTCATATAAAATTATTTAACATATATACAAACATTTAGTATCACTGTAAATATAACTAAATAAATTTCTAAACATCCATCAATCTTATTACAAGAGGCACAAGGTTTAATTTTGGGGATTACTTCCTTTTATAACAAGAAAGAAATCAACGTCACAAATGCGCATAGCATTATTAATATTAAGTATAGCGAATGAATTTCTCTCCAAAAAACGTGGCCCAGATTTATGAAACGAAATCCACTTATATATACGTCTTAAATATTGCGAAAGATAATAATAATTTAATATTGCATTTATTATTTTCATTTTACTTATATTCCTAGTACAAGTATTAGGCGTCTTAAACGTAAATAATATTTGTTGCATCCTAGAAAATATGAAACAAACACATTCTGTAATACATTCTCAGAAATATTAAAAACACTTTTCTATGGTATGTTCGCTTATTATGCTTGAAAATAATTCGTCTAATATTGCTTCACTAGTATTTCTAAATGTAATATAGGCACTATAATACAGTCGTTTAAACATTAGTGCATTTTTTCAATTATTGCTGCATTATCGTTATTATTATTACAATAGATAAGCGTATAACGCGCGTTAGATAAGGGGCCCCTTAAAGTTACACCTGGGTTGCAAGTCCCAGGCACTGTTGAAGCTCCTCTCCCTGCAACGCGATGGACCCGGCACCCGCACGGTGAATCCATCGAATGCTAAGAGTTTTTCTCTCTATACTAGTAATATATTAGATAAAAAATAAAAAAAGCCAAAACCAAGTTTTCAATTAAAATAAAAATCTAACTTTCAAATTGACTGCATAAACTACAAGCTTGGATATTGTTTATTTGAACCAAGACCCAGCGTAAGTGAGAAAATGCAGAAAAAGACAAAGTTTTAATATTCAAAGGCATCCTGAATGTCTATACAAGTGATACAGACTGTAATTTATTGTCTCTTTATTTTCAAAGTTTCCTTGAGAGCGCTATATGCATACGATATTTTATTCAAACTCCACTAAACAGTTTTATTGTTTCATAATTATATAATATTAATTATTCACTATATATTGTGTACTATAATAAATTTATAATATGATATTTTTATCGGTATTTTTAATTGCATGATGAATATTAGTCTGGCTGTTTTTACAATCGCACTTCGTGTTTTCAATAAAATATATCTTTAATAAGCATTTGGTATTAAAACAATCAGTCAAGTTTGAACGATATATAAGAGACTTACCTAACTTAATGCATTAATATATCTATTGATTAAAATTCAGCACCACTCATAATAAACGATACCCGTGCTTCATGTTTCAAAATACTGTATCTTTAGAATGCATCCCTGAACAGGAACCAGTTAATTTACGAGAACAACCCATTTGTGTTATGTTCATACATATACATATGATCAAGAGGTTTTAATGTAACAATTATACACGAGTACATATCTATGATAATATAATCTTATTATACATAAATAAACGGAGGATACATTTTTTAAATAGAAATATGAAACCCTTTTTTAGATCTAAGACAAATATAAGAAAAGATCATAATGTTTACCCTTATTAAATAGATATTTCATAATATGATCTTAACTATGGTAAACTGTTAATGTACTTAAGAAAATTTCGGTATTTAAAATAATAAGAAATTCAATAAATATAAAAATGGAACTTCGTTGTGATCTCCATTTAGTCAATTAGCTTTGAATGTATCATTCGATTGATAACACATTTTATTTCAATGAACTATTACGCCTTTACTGCTGTAAAAGGCGAATAAAAAATATCATTACGGGAAATTATTGTTGTTATCGTTTTTGTACTTATAATATTATTTATTAGATAAACATAAAAAGTAATAACGAGTACTGAATACTCGTACGTTATTGAAATATTTAAATTCTCTTGATATTTCTGACGTACATTCCTATGTACATACATGCATGAAGATAGCACAAATGGGTTCCTCCTCATAAATCCAATGCTCGCTGTTCTCGGATGATGCATTCCCTGGATTCAGTATTATTAAACATGTAGCTGGTATTATTTATTGTGAGACTTTGTAAATTTTTAACAGTAAATATATTTTGAATAAGATTTATGTGGCGCTTTAAAAAGAATAACATCGAGATTAACAGTAATAAATGGTTATTATTTTTATATGTTAAAAATTTTCAATTTTAGTAGCCTTCATATTTTGCACAAGTTTGAATACGTATATTAAAACGAAAAACCTTACTCACTCTTATATGAAAGATTTAACGAGTTTAATATAATTATTTTGTATCTACATTATATTTTAAATCTCTCTAACATCAATTCAATCCGTAATAGACGACGATTTTAATATTATTTATTTTAATTGATATGTGGTGTGTTATTATTATTATTATTTAATGTTAAGAACACTGTATACTCTCGAGATAACACATCGTTTTGAGATTGACCTTTATTATATGAGAACATGCTCAAGAATATTCTTGTCGACAAATTATTTACACACCTTATCGTTCAAATATTATTTAATTATTTCTTGTTTATACTTCGTAATTTCTTTTTTGTTGAAAAATCCTAAGGTTTTTTTTTATTTAAGAAACAATACTGAAACAGCTATTATGTTCTGTTAAAATTTAAATTATTCAGACATACAAATTTCATATGGTGCAGCATTTTATATATATAAATGTTTAGAATTCAGTTTCAAATACATTGAATGTACTCAACTCAACCCGTTAAGGTTGTGGTCACTACACCTTTCTGAACTGTTCTCAAAGAAACATGTGATTAACGACAACGACACACATTACTCCGTATGTCTTAGTATACAGACGTTTGCAATGCTTTTGAATGTTCTAGATTTGGTTTAGTTGTGTAGTTTCTCACCTACGTTTAGTTTCTGTTCTAAATAAATAACATACCCTAGTTTCTGTAGGTGATTCAAATGTTTTGCTACTCACCTTATTCAATGTGTTGAATAAGGTTCCTTTAACATACTTCGTATACGATTGAATAAATATATTAAATTCAAATTTTATTATTTATATTATATTGTAAAGTAGTAACTGAAATACCATTACAACTTAAATTATTATGAAAATACAAAATATTGGATAAAAAGTTGAAACTCTTACAGGTTTTGGACTTTTTTTTAAATTAGAGAGGACCCTCGGTCCTTTGCTATTTTCTCACTTGATAGGTAGAAATCTTCATTATCTCAGTAAAAGCTTCCCCTGATGACTTTCAAATTATAAGAGCGAACACATACGCAGGCCTACTACTTTAATTTTTTGCTTAGAGCATGAGAAAGTGTAGCGTATCGCTTCCACCGTATGCCATAACGAACTAAAACGAAATGAATGGTAGGGCCATGGTTGTTGTTAAAACGTCATGGAGAAATTATGGCATGAAAATAGATTTAAGATATTGAATGATGTCGTGTAGATTCAAGTATGCTGTAATAAAATCTGAACCACAAACTTAACCTTATATGCTTTGCAATTAGGTTCTCAACTTTTATTCATTGTTAATTATACATATTAAGTTTGTTTTAAGGAAATGATAAATATGTAGTTTGTGTTTCAACTAAATGTAGATAAAAAAGTTTTAAAATAAGAACAGAAGATTTAAACCCATACATTAAACTTATTGGTAAACTTTAAAATTTTATAAAAGATTTTTTTGCCTTGTTTCTAATATCTTGACAGAGTTTTTTATTTTAGGTAAGTGTTAAGGTATGGGTAGACGTTTCTGTCACTTGGAACATTTTATTTCATCCTCCTTAACTACAAAGTGTGATAGGAAACTAAAAATTCACACAATTTTATACTTTGATAACATGTTAGGATTAGGACGACTGAAAGTAAGTGAAAACGTGACCTATTTCAGTTTTATTAGAAGGCGCTGTGAAAACACGTGTAAAGGATTTATATAGACATAAAAGGGAGATCAGCAATTTGCGTGAAATAAATATAATAAATTTATGATATATCTTATCAAATCTGCTAGATAGAACTACTTGAGAAAGTACTAAACAATTTGGTTACAAGTTTACAAATGTATAATGTATTATAATAATGATATTATTAAATATAATACATAACTTTTCAACTTAATTGGACTGTCTGACTGTCTGAAAAACTAAAGAAACGTTAACACTATAAGGTTTCTTTTCCGTGCTTAGTCTCTTTACGAGAATGAAGAGTCAGCATCACAAGTTCGGATAGGGATATTAAAAAGAAAAAACAAAAAGAACTCATTCGCTCTTACAACAAAGACTTACCGAGTAAAACATTTTAGTTTTATGAACCAAAAACAAAAAATAAATATTTATTTAAATTTTCCACTTGTATAACATTGCAATCTAAGAGAGAGGCATAGTCAAGATATAACAGAGTATTCATTTAGTTGCATTCAGTTTCTGGAAACTCGATCCAAAGGAAGTCAGAATACAACCAATTTGATTAAAGAGCTTTGTCTCCAAATAACTATCGATGTCTGTCATTCCATTTATTTCTCAGAAACTCCGTCATTTTGATGCTACTGGTCTTATTTCACAACTGTTTTCTATAAGGGAATGGTGCTTTTACAACTAGGAAAAGGCTTAATTTAAATTTGAGTAGCAGTTTAAATGTGTATTTTTTTTATTGGACTAGTTTATTATGCAAGAATATAATAGATGGGTTTATTTTCGTAATTCTGGACTTCGAATTTAAAAATGCATAAATTGAGTAGCCAAGTATTACATACGTTTTTTTTATAAATTTTAAGTAGCCCCTATATCTCAAGAAAAACTTTATATTCTAGAGTTTTCAGAGAACTAGACTTCCTGTTCCAGTAGCGTTCATATCCTAAAAACTTAAACGTTATTTCACAAAATGTTGTGAATTCTTTTACTTTTTATTGCACTAAAATTTTTGTTATTTGTGGAGGTGTGTGATAGATTATGTTAATCATCAAAAAGTAATTAAAAAAAATTTATACTAATAACTTACCTCCTACAAAAGAAAATAATTCTTTTCACCGTTATTAATATTAGAAGGCCTTAATTGTTTTATAAGTATTAATATATTATAAAGTAGGTTTTTTTATTTTTGTGTCATCACTTTTTTCTTTTAGTATTATTTCACTAGACATACCGATCTATTCAACGATATAATAAAATTAGTTTGGTCAAATTAATTTTAGTTAAGAATTATGTTGAGATCGGATATGATAAATTTTTGAAAAGAACTGTGCGACGTAAATATATTTTAGTTATGAATAAAGTAATACCTTTTCAATTGAACTGACTGCAGGAGAATATTTCATGTCAGTATGCATGAAACAGAAATGCTTTGAATTGTTGTTTATTATAAGGTACTATGGAGACCATGTAAAAAGGTTCTTAATTTCGAAAAAAAAGTAGGGAGTAAGTTTTTACTTTACCAGAACGTAGTAAACTTGACATTTATAAAATCGTATTACACTATTTGTTCTATTTGAAAAAATAGAAAATCATCACTAAAATGTAAAAGAAAGTACTCTACTTAAAGCTTGTCTAATGATTCTTTCTAGTATATATTAAATAGCTTACAAGAAAACTATCTATACCTCTTTATGAAAGGTACAAAAACTAGAAACGCAATATACCTACTTGTGATAAGAGCTCTTCCATTTACCAGTAATTGGTATTGTTTTTACCAAACGAAAACAACTTCTGAAGTTATAAAATACATGTTCTTTTGTGTTTTAGTTGCTCATATTTCTATCTCTACATTTTATATGTTTCAAAGAAGCATAACATGAAAAATATAAATGTTATTTTCAAAGAAAAACATAGTTAATAAAAATTATGAAAATATTTTTAAACAAACAAGAATTTAAATGAAATTTCCATATTCAATTCCAACAAACTAATTTAAGGAAATTTAAGGAACCTTTTTTAATTAGTTAGACCGGATATTTAATTTTAACTCTTGCTTTCTAGACTCAGTAAAAAATAAGTGTATTTTTTTATTTGGCTTTGGCTATATTAGTGCCTTCTTAGAAGAAAAGCCGTGCAAATATTTGTTAATATTGTTCGATTTAAATTATTTCCATAATCTGTAAATTATGGAACGTACAGTGTATGGTATGTAATGGACACCTCTTAATAAGCATAAACGACAATGGTCTACTTACTGCTTATCCGCAATTGGTTGACTGGGGAATTCTAATGCTCTTCACAGATTCATAGCGTAGAGCTCTCGTAAATTTGTTTGACATATCAAAAGCTTTCGACAAGTTCTGGCACTACAATCTTATTAGGTAACTATGTTCGTCGATGCGATTGCCTGAATTTGTGACTTTCATAGGGAATGTGCCTTACATTACAGGCCATTGTTGCCTTTTATTACATAAATATGTACTTTTATTTATTATCTTATTTGTTTAATTCAAAATTGACAATCAATAAGACATTTTATATCATCATAACGTCACTTATGAACAAATAGCATATTAGAAAACGCCTATACAATATTTTAGAGACTACAGTGATCTTTCAGAATTGATGACACAATAAGGACGGCCATTGTGTAATTGCAATGCATGCTAATAAAAGTTATTTCCATTGAATACAAGTATACAGCTCTAACAGTTAGTTGCAATTAGCCTCACAGTCTATAGTTCAACAGATCCACCCTTTTGTATTTCGTCAAATGCAAATTGCATACCTGCTTTGAGCTCATTGAATTTCACATTATATATTTACTGTTACTATTTAACTTTGAACTTTAAGTTTAACTATCAGAAATGCTATATTATTAGAATTTTAATATTAACATTAATTAGCTCCTATTTGTCATCAAGATTATTTTTGCCTTCATCTTATGTTACTTTGAAAAAAAAAAAAAAAAATTAAAATTATCGCCAGTTTTAACTCTTAACTGTGTTCTTTAAAAATTATTTTTTAATTGTTAGGCGTATTTTTGATAAGTGTGTTACTGTCTTAGGCATTCGTAATAAAGTATAGCTACCAAATTAATTTTGAAATAAATTTTCTCAAGTTTGACGTTTAGACTTCTAACGGTATCGGTGGTTTATTTTTTGTAAACAAGTATTATATTTTCTGCATTTATAATTTCAAATTAAACTAGTAAAAATGAAAAAGTTTTTCCCAGGAAAACATACATGAAGCTAGACGGCTAGCCGCTATGAAAGTATATGTATAATGAATATAAATTTAACAGACTTTATAAATAAGTAGTGAGAGTTGTAAGAACTTTTCTCACGTCAGATAAATAACATGTTAAGACAACTTTTGCTACTCGTATAGTGTTTGCTTGAACGTTAAATGGCTTGGCATTGACATTTGTTCTTGTTAATTTTTTTTTCTGTCTTATTAATATTATAATTTTTCTGTCTTAATATATATTTTTTCTACATTAGGTATCTACTATTTTATTAGTTAAAAATTACTGAGTCCAATACCATGTAAAGTTACTAAAATTATTTCTTTCCTCATTATATTGAACATTTTTTCTATTAGCTTTAATTGCATAATACAATATCTTATACATTCTTTCAGTCGATATGTATATATTAACAGGCAAATAAGGTTCTTCGACATTATAGCCCCAAATTTGGAACGTCAATCAAACTCGGAAGCAAGATGGTGACTGATTTATTAAACACCGACATATTGTAATAATGTAAGACCGTCCATTTTCCCCCTTTTTAAATTACTTTAAACACTTAAAACATAGCTATAATAGTAAAAGTTATATTCTAATTATTTATAAAAGCTACAAACAGTATTTAAACAGTATTTAACAGTATAAAAGAAACTAAATCTAGGTTCTCGGTACAAATGTATGTATGTCTATCTTATTATATATGTATTACATATAAACTTAAACTAAATAAACAAACAAAGAGTTCTTAAAATTACTTTTAACAATTTTTTTTAATTCTGCGGTTATAAGCGCGCAAATCTCTAGCAGTAGCATTCGGAGAGGGAGGTATCGGGGGACGCGGTCCAGGCGACAATGAACGTGTCTCCGGGCCACTGTCCTCGACTTCTCCTGCCGCGTCCTCAAACCTATCCTCCTCACCCTCACTACCTGCCGACCCCGACCCGCTAACATTTTCGATCTCATTTTTCCCTTTGTGAATTTCCGAGCCGTGCTGGTTAGTCCGCGATAAAGAAAACCGATCTTTTTTATTTAGTTTAATCACTTGATCGTGATGCCTACGCCACGTCACTCCATCACCCACATCTACTTTATACGACACTGGACCCGCCTGACCTTTTACAGTTCCCTCTGTCCACTTAGTTCCGTTCTTAGTATAATCGCGTACCATAACGTCATCCCCTACTTTAATTTGACGGGTTGACCCCATTTTATTAGCAACCTGCCTATCTTGCACCGACTCCACGACCTTTGACACGTTCGGGCGTAACGCGTCCAGACGTCCTCGTAAGCGACGTCTTAACAACGCGACAGCCGGAGAAACTCCCGTAGTAGCATTTTCACAGTTTCGATACTGAAAAAGAAATTTTAATAGGGACAAAGACACATCCTCTTTTAAGTATACTGCACGTTTAATGACTTTTTTTACGGTTTTTACGGCATTCTCGGCTGCTCCGTTACCTTGAGGTCTGTATGGTGCCGTTGATATATGCTTTATACAGTTTAAAATACAATAATTATTAAAATCTAAAGAACTGAAAGGGGGACCGTTATCCGTAACTAATTGCGACGGATGCCCGAATCTCGCGAAAATAGTTCTCAAAACGGAAATGGTCGAATCTGCGTCCGTTCGTAGCATACATGCTACTTCCAGCCACTTGGAGTGTGCATCGATTAATATTAAATATTTTTTTCCTGCACACTCAGCGAAGTCGGCATGTAAGCGTTGCCACGGATGAAGAGGAAATTCCCGAGGGTGCAAAGTAGCCCGCGGGGGGGCGTCTCGAACAATGCGACACGCTTCGCAATTTCGACACAAATTTTCTATATCCCTATCTATATTTGGCCAATAGATATAACTTCTTGATAAATTTTTCATTTTATTTATACCAAGATGACCTTCGTGGATTTCTTTCAAGATCGGTTTACGTAACTGTGGCGGCACTATGATTCTATATTTATAAATTAAACAACCTAATTCTAAAACAATCTCGTTTTTCCTACTAAAATAAGCTTTTTCTTCCTCGCATTTCGTATAAGACGGCCATCCAAACAACACATAACCAACGATCTTACTTAATAATGGATCTTTCTTCGTTTCGCGACTAATATCTTTAAAATTAATGGGTAAGTTATCGTCTATTATATTGATATAACTCAATGGCGCAGGCGATAATGATCGGTGTTCGCACGGCAGGGGTAAGCGAGATAACGCATCGGCCGGACTGTTCTCGCACGAACGCACAAATTCAACCGAAAATTCGTAAGCAGATAACCGCGCCGCCCAGCGCTGCAAGCGACTTGCAGCCGTTTGAGGGATACCGTATTTTGAACTAAAAATGTAACTTAACGGTTGATGATCCGTTCGCAGTACAAATCGTCTACCGAAAAGATATTGATGATGTTTAACAACCCCAAAAAAGATAGCTAACGCTTCTTTATCAAGTTGGCTATAATTAATTTCTGCACTATTAAGCGTGCGCGACACACAGCTAACGGGGCGCTCGCTGCCGTCCGGGTAGCGGTGCGCGAGCACGGCGCCCAGCCCGTACGCGCTGCTGTCCACCGACAACACCAACGGCCGGCCCTCTTCATAGTGTGCCAGCACCTTATCCCCCGTCAATACACTCTTAGCCTTAGAAAAAGCCGCTTCGCAATCCGTGTTCCAATTCCATTCTACATTTTTTTTTAGCAAACTATGTAAGGGATGTAAAATTATACTAAGATTTTGAATGAATTTACCATAATAGTTTAACATTCCTAAAAAACTTTTTAACTGAGTAACATTTTCAGGTCGTGGCGCATCGCATATAGCTGATATTTTCTTAATATCGGGGTGCAAGCCTAATCTATCTATAATAAAGCCTAAATATTTAACGTTAGATTTCAAGAAACTACATTTGTTTAATTTTATCGTGAAACCCATAGACCGCAACCGTTCTAGCACAGCTCGTAAATTACTCATATGTGACTGTCTATTACAACCTGTCACACATATGTCATCTAAGTAGACCACCGTACCAGGGACCCCTCGGAGCGTTTCTTCCATAATTTTTTTAAATTTCTCCGGTATACATGATAACCCGAAAGGTGTGCGACGATATACGAAGGTGCCGATGTGAGTAGTGATCGCGGTATAGGGTTGTGACTCCTCTGATAACAAGAGTTGTTGGTACGAGTGTTTCAAGTCAATTTTTGAAAACTCCTCACCACCACTCAATGCTGCAAACAATTCCTCTATACGAGGCAAAGGGTAATAATCACGTTTTAATTTCGGGTTTATCGTAATTTTGTAGTCCCCGCAAATACGTATTTCGCCGCATTCCTTCACCACGGGGACGATCGGAGTTCCGTACTCCGAGTGGTCCACGCGGTAGGTATAACCCTCGCGCTCGAGGCGCTCGAGCTCGCTCTCGACGCGGCCGCGCAGCGCGAGCGGAACGGGGCGCGCCCTTACATAAACCGGTTCCTTATCCGTGACATGCAATTGAATTGTTTTCTTACACGTACCTAACTTATCTGTAAACACTTCAGGAAATTCGCTAATTAAACAGTCTACAAAATTATCTTCTACAATTTCATTTAACGTTATTTTTTTTATATTTAAAGCGCGCATCCAATCACGGCCCACTAAAGGACGCGACCCATTTTCTATGACGTATAAAGCTAGATTTTCAGCCTTAATTCCGTTAAGAGTAACATTTACATTAATATAACCAAGTGACTTAATTTGAGTCCCGGAGTAACAACGTAGAATGAGATTATCTGTATTAATCTTTTTATTCGGGAATAATTTATTAAAAAGTTGATCACTAATGGCAGAGATACGACTTCCCGTGTCTATTTCACATTGTAACACCTGACTGTCGATTATCACTTTGATAAAATAGGGTCCATTACCTTTAGCCGCCAACTCCATATTGAAGAAGTCCTCGTCCTCGGAGGCACTAGCGTCTACAACATAATTATTGTAACTATTACGCCCAAATGCACGATTCCGCACTTTCTCATTACACATTACTTTCAAATGTCCTTTTTTTTTACACCTGTCGCAACTATACTGCGCATACCGACACTTGTTGGCACCATGAGGCCTCCCACACCTCCAACAGCGCCCCTCGTCCGCATCCCACCGGCCGCGGGCGCGCGCGCCTCCGCCGGCCATAGCCGAGGGCCGCCGCGCCGGGCCGCGCCGGTCGCTCGCCTGATGCAGGGCTTCTGCGCCCTCGCCGCCTGCACACGAGGCCGTAGTCGGGACTGATGTCGCCCCGCTCACCTCCGCGTGCTTCTCTGCAGCCTCCAGCGCCAGAGCCAACTCCACCGCCTCCTTGAATTTGATATTTCTCTCCGCGAATATTCTAGACCGCATCACTTCATTAACCAATCCAGACACAAATTGATCTCGTAGATTTTCTTCCAGCATACTTCCAAAATTACATGTTGTTGCCAGGTGTTTAAGGTTGTGAAGATAATCCATGAGAGGCTCGCCGGTGCGTTGTCTACGTAACCGAAACACGTGGCGTTCGGCTATTTCTGAGCGTTGTGGTTCTAGGTGATCGGATAACAATTTTACTAATTGATCGAATTTTTTCGTTTCGGGAAGTGCCGGCGAACATAGATCGCACATCAATGCATAGGTAGCCTCTCCTACAACCGTTATTAATAAGGGTACATGCAGCTCCTCTTTAATCTCATTTAGCACAATGTATTGTTTTACTCTTCTAATATACGCCGGCCACTGTTTAGAATTCACATCGAATGGTTCTAATTTTCCAATAGGCATTATTGAAACACTAATTTAATAACTTTTTCAATAAACGCGTGGTACGTAACCGACTCGTCGCCAGTGGAACGTCAATCAAACTCGGAAGCAAGATGTTGACTGATTTATTAAACACCGACATATTGTAATAATGTAAGACCGTCCATTATACATTCTTTCAGTCGATATGTATATATTAACAGGCAAATAAGGTTCTTCGACATTATAGCCCCAAATTTACTTTAAATGGATTAAAAGCCAAAAGCACATATTTATATATATTTTTATTATCTCAAACTTTTTTCACACAGAAGCTGCTTAAGTCACATTTTCTCTAACAAATAACCGCCCTAATTCGTAATTTATGTTGTAAAGGGATGAAAATGGAGTGAACTTTTAGTTTTTATTACTAGTTTATTACATTACAAAGACATGGTGGTAGAGCCTAGCTGTGGTCAAGTGAGAGCAGCTCGAACATGGGCTGGCTCGACCGGGGAAGTACCACCCTTTCATAGAAGATCAGCGTGAAGTAGCCTTAGTGGCTGCGTTTCGTTCGATGAGTGAGAGAGCCGGTTGCCCTTTTCCCATCCTTTCCTACCCCTTCCCATTTTTCCTCCCCCTCTTCCCAAATCAAGGGTAGTGACACATCCGCAACATGTCTTACGTCGAGGATGTCTATGGGCGGCGGTACTACCTCCATCAGATAGGCCGTCTGCTCGGTTGCCCCCCTTAACATAAAAAAACAAGGGTGTTAAACTAAACAATTAATTTATATATCTAATGTTTTTGTCGGTATTACTTACTAAACATTGTTTTCCTTAAAATTCCTCGCTAGTTATACTATCAATATTGTAAAACGTACGTATGGAGTTTTTTTTTTTTTATAATATAGGGGCAACCGAGCAGGCTAGCAATCCGATGACATATGATCACCGCCGCCCATGGAAGATATGGATACAAATCACACCCCAGGTATGGAGTGTGATTTGTACCTCATTATACACATACAGCTATTCTGTTGGCAAACAAAAGGAATTTGGGCCGTGTAAAGAATTAAAATTATAAAAATATAATAACATATAACATATTTTCATAAATATCCTTCATCGGAATAGATAATTGTATTCTTGGAAATAAATTCCAACATTAAAGATAACTCCATGACGTCAGCACTTTAATTATGTAACACTCAATGCATCAAGTCACTAATTATTACAATAACAGCATATTCCTCATGGGAAGGTACACATTTTCAAAAACGAATCATTATTATTTTTTATTACTTTAAACAAATAAACGTAAATTTTATGTAATTAAAGTATGTGAACAACACTTTATGTCATGAATTTAAAAGTATTTTACGTTACGTTACTTAAACATCCAATTGATTTAAACTAAATATAAATTTTCCAGTCTCGCCACTTCACTCTTATCGATTCACATTGAGTTGAGTTATTCTTAACCTATTCTATTTTTGGTATTGCATACATTTATCATTTACATTTTATATTTCGTTTCCTATCCACATAGTCCTATTGTAAAAGACTGAAAGTATAAACCTCAATCTAAATATATTAATTAATAACTTTTTATTTCAAGTGACTATGACTCATTTTATTGTTGTTGATACATATTACTTATCTCCTATGTTAGTATAATAAATTAATTAACAAAAATAAAAAAAACTATCACAAACTTGTAATCATGGTAGTAATTGCTGAACTAATCAACTCGAAATAGCACAGCAATGACTAACATACTTACAGTCTAACCTGCTAGCAATTGCCTTCATGATGCTGTTGGGACTATCCCGCAATCTGTATACCAAGGATCCGCATCTTTTGCGTGTAATGGCATAAAAGCAATTGACCCTCGCTGCCGCGAACATCCCTGATGCACTACAGTGGAAGGGCAATCCCATCAGCACTCTAAAGGCATTGTTATATTGGACCCGGAGTGCGTTATACGACCTTTGAGAGTATTTGGCCCACAGGTTGCACGTGTAGAAGGTGGTACAATAGGATCTAAACAGTGTAAGCTTAACTTCGCTCGAACAATGTACAAATTAATATCGAACTGTAGTGTAAATCTCATTTCTTAGTCTTAGTTATATTAAAACTTTCTAAATATGTTTTATAATGAAATATTTTATATTAAAAAGTATTTCTTTCTCATGTTACTTGTAATAGAATTATTTTAACTAACATGACAATATGGAATACATGATCATTTTAACACTTGTACTTTAAGAATAACACATATTAAGAAAACAGAAATATCGTCATAACATATGCGGAACTCTAGAAAATATATTATTTCAATACATTAACTAATTGGAGGTATATTACAGCTGAAGTTTAAAGCAAAAAAAGTAGGTTTCGTCGTAAACTTAAGAAAATATTTATTATATTTATATTTATTTATTTTTCGTTATATTTTACATACTCCGATTAATTAATCAACGTTATTTAAATTATGAGACTATAAAATAAAATAGATTAACAATGTTTATAGCACTAATATAAAGAATAAAACAAAATATAATTCCACATACATTCCACATATCATTCAACATACTTTAGGAACTTTACAACTTAAAACTTCGCTAGTAGTGATTGCTCAAACATTTTAAACGATGGAACAAATAAACATGCTCCAAAAACATCTAGAAAGAGCATTGACTGACAAGTTGCAACAGTTTCTGTGAGAAAATCATTTAAAAGTTTATCATAATTTCTTTAAATTTTACAAAGAATATACTATACATTTCACAAAGACACCTCCATCTCGACCTCCTGTCACGACTAGTTCTAAGAAATTAAAACGTCGGGTTTAATATAAAAAACAAAATTCAGTTCATTCCGGTAGTATAGTTCTATTTAAGTTAACATAATAATTATTCCTTTTTTATATATAAATAGAGTCCAAAATTTGTACACTTAAAAAGTGTTACAATGATTTGCAAAAGTTTAGCAGTCATACTGATAATTTGGCTGTCTTCAAATCTAAAGTTAATAAGCCTGTTACTCAAAAAGTGCGTTTACCACCTATGATTTTATTTTTAGCTACCATTGGAAAGAATGTCAGTAAAACGATATGAAAAATATATACAAGTAGTGAATTTGCTTTATGCCGGCAAGATAAAGGAGCCATCAGTAAACATTTGTGTCAGTAGTCGCAATTCAAAACTATGTTGCAAAAAATACTTTAATAAATAATGAAGTTGCACTAACCAATCATTTATTAATTTATTTAACTTTATAGATTTTTAATTTTCGCATAGAAAATATTAATAATACAATCCCTAATACTATTTTAGTAAGAATATAATTTAATGACTTTTCTGTCTTGAATACAAAATTAAATTCTGACAAATATATTTAATATTTTGATTATATCAAAATTATATTAATGCCAAAGTAGAACTGTGAACCTTTAGCTGTTTCAGTTGGACGTCAAACATGAAACGTTCTGCAATAAGCTTCACGGACTGTAGTTATATGTAATATAGATGAAACTCTATGTTCCGTGCCAAATACTTTAAATTGCTGCACAACGTCAAGCTCCGTGTAAGAGAATTTTAAAACAAAACAGACAAGCTTACATTAATTTTATTTTCCTTTAAAAAACAAAAAGTAAAATGAACATTTAAATTACAGATAAAAAAGAGATTACTTAAGTTATATTCATTAAAAATAAAATTTAATAAATAAGTTTTACCATCAACCTAAATTATTCTTAAAAAGTACACTATAATTTTACTTTACTAAACTATGATTTTTTCTTAATAGACCATCTTTATTAATATTTATGGATATATATTCAATTTTACGTATTAGATGTAATAAGTAGGTATGACAGAAAATATATCTGTATATATGATAATAAGGGGCAAACAACATGCGTATTAGTATTAATGATTTTGAGACCAGTTAAATGGGGAATGAAAGAAATAAGAATAGTGAACCTACTTTTAGTATACTATTTTTTTAACTATTTCGAAAAAATAGTGCTAGTTTATTTTGGAAAAAATAGTGCTATTATTTGTAAATCTGCTCTCTAATATCACATAGAATAACATGAAAAAGATAAAGCTTTCTAGAAAAGTAATTGTTAAATTTTAAAAGACAAAATAAAAAGTACTTATAACAAACAGCAACAGTTAAATAAGAAAGTTATTTCAATCCGAGGAGATAGTAGTTTTGATCTTACTTCACGAACGGGGACTTTATAACTAGTGTTAATTTAAACACGGAACTTATCTCAGGTGAACTCCGAAACAATGAGTACGCTCCAAAACATCCAGAAACATTAATGAGTTCACAACTTTTTTCTAGACAAGTAGTTTATTGCAAATAAATCCAACATTCTTTTTTGTAGCCTTTGAATCTGGAAGGAAGTAACTAACTATATTTGTCTATGCAAACTCTAGAAAACTTAATATTGTGCGTATAATAAAAATAAACCAATGACCTTCAATATTCGTTATAAGAGCTTCAAAGGAAGATTATTCTTCACCCGTACTTATTTAAAAAAAAAAGCAAAACTATTGTTGTACTTGGACTGTGCTTGTGGAATATTTTAGATACAGAACAAGAGGAAATTCA